TCAGACGTGTGCTCTTCCGATCTATACCGAAAAGATTAGACAGATCCCTACGCAAGGTAGAAAGTATATTAAATTGAATATTTATTAAATCTTCGTCTTACTAAACAAGTAGAAGCATTAAAGCACGTATTTTCTGTTTCTACAATAGATATTAGTTATGTGATTAGGGCTCCGTTCCCCCTCCCCGCCTGCGCCCATACTATCTGTTGGGCAGGAGGGCTTTGCCCCCCCCCCAACCCCCCAATGGTATTATTTTTTGTTACTTTTTTTGTTAATAACTTTTTAACGAATAACAAGCGACAGCTAAAGCCTCTTGATAGCCACTCAGGGTCATAACTTTGACAACATATGTACAGATCAAAATCATTGGAGCAGCCTCCCTTCATCGATTTACTATAAAAATTAATACCATTTACGTTTAACAATATTTTTTATAATTACATTTTTCTTTCAAGAAAGAATGAACGTCAAATAATAATAAACTAACACTAATTGTATTTATAAGTTTGAAATTTAAACAAAGATAAGTTTTATAAAACTTATATCAAGTATTACTGGTATTACAAGTTATAGTTTACAACTACGAGTATCGATAGTATAATGAGAATGGACGTGAAATTTGTTTTCTTCATACTTATGCCTCCTATTGTCTTACTGGAAGCAGAAGAAAATCTCTTGGGAGACTTACAAGAATTTTTTCGGAAAATGGTCAATTATCTGTTTCCTAAGGATCCTGGTATAATGAGAGTAAGAAAGTTACAAGATGTCAGAACAGTGAAAAATGTAACCACATTGGATTTTGTAAGTACAAGACTGTTTTTTAATATTTTGTTTCATTAAAGGCACACTCGAAAAAATAATACCTCAAATAGAAGATTATTTACAAAAAACATTTTGTTATACAAAAGATTATATCAGGAAACATGGTAGTGTCTCGCAACGAGTTTACATACCTATACAATTTAATACAGCAAGCGACGTTTTACAATTAGTAGCAATATGTACCTATAGTTACCAAATATTTTTCAAACAACAAATGTATTGACTAGAACAACACATTGTCTATGAAAAAAAGTCTTAACTCATTTTGAATTACAAAATGTTTAAAAATAATTTCAAAACCGTTAGAAAATAGATAACTCTTAAAATATTCTTTAAATTATTTTTTTTTACGTAATTAAATTTTGTTATTTTACATATCATAGAAAAGTCTTGAATTCTCTTTAATATACTATATGTTTACGCAGATTGGTTTAGTAGAGAGATATGGTTACCCCGCCGAGGAGCACTACCTCACAACAGAAGATGGTTATAACTTGGTAATACATAGAATATCAGAAAGCCCTTTATCTAAAGATCAACAGAAAAGAAAAGTAGTGTTCCTTCAACACGGCGGCTTCCTCTCATCTGATTCCTGGGTGTTGTTTGGTGCTGACAAAGACCTTGGTGAGTAACCGTCAATACATTATAATGCATTTATTATTAAATCATACTTTGTCATCTAAGTAGCGACATAACTTCTAGCAAAATTACTTTTAGCAGAATTACTTTGTCACCTAAGCAGCGATATAACTTCTAGCGAAATTTTTTGTATTTTTCATGTTGTATTTTCATTTGCTGTTTATTTTAAGTCCGTATGAAATCCTTCCCAATACATGAAACATTCTGTTTCTACACTAAAAGAAAAAGTAATTGCAATTGTCATAATTTAATTATAATATGTTGTTATTTTCAGTACCAACTATATATAGGGGAAAGTCCTGTAAGTTGGCAGGGTTTTCTTCATTTAGGTTTAGAATTTTGTAGGCAATGAATTGCTATTAGTATTATTCGAAAGATCATGGATCAAGGCAACTTTTTGCTGTAGAAACTTATTTTCTATCTTGATCCAAAAAAAGTTAGTTGATTTTCGAAAAAGGACACTACATGAAAAGATCGAAAAAAAAACAATAAATAAGCCACAAAATGAATTGAAAATAACATAATTTTAAACTTTAATGAATATATAATTGTAAATTTTGATGTGAACAACAAAATTTTTTTTTAAACCTGATTAATCGGAATATTCAGAGTCACAGAGTTTACAAGTATAAAAACCAGTAACTATATTGGCACGTTTCAAATGAACTGCTCTTTTGCATGCGTTGCAGGTGGAACCAATGGAATTGAACCGGGTTAATTTCAAAGGCATTGTTCTTCTGTACCGCCAACTTACAGGACTGACGCAACTTTCAGCAATAATTTTTTTCCAAACATTTTTTGATAAATTGCCTTTAACCAATAAAAAGAGAATTAAAAATAAAGTCACATGCATAATTACCTTGATCAAATGTTGAAGAAAACACATTTTATACAAGATATAGAATGATACAAGAATTTTCATTTTTTAAAAACTTTTTTTTTTTCACTTTGCTCAGAGCAGTTAGAAGGAAACCATATAATGTAATCGCGTCTCTGCATCAGCAAAAACTGGCAAGTATTAAGATAAGTTTATGCTAGAAATGCCACATCACTGGCGCTACTGTAGCGCTCACAAATTGAACACTGTCAATAACTTACAGGACTCTCCCCTACATACATATACATGTACATATATATAAATACACACACACACACACACACACACACACACACACACACACACGCACGCACACGCACGCACGCACGCACGCACGCACGCACACACACGCACACACACAAAGTATAGAAACCTTGAAAAATCTCAAAAAATATAAGTTTTACAGAAAAATGTTTCAAATAAAAGTTGTAGGATTTAAAAAGTTTTATTCAATAGTCTCATTAGTTTGACTCTGGCTGGCGTCGTTAAGGTCACCTTGAATTTTTTAAATGGAACCTCCTATTTTTCATTGTATATTCTTGTAGCTTATTTCGAGAGCTTTCCAAAACACGTAGATAAAATGTTTTTTGGTTAAGTAAATCTCGAGTTATAAAACTTGAAAGTTACAGTACCACCGGCATTAGCATTATCCAAGGTGTCCGAACAATGGCTGAAACCTTTTGAATATTGTTCAGGATCATGAGCTTGACAACTGTGTCAAAACTATGATCATTGGAAATTGTTTCTCTTATTTTCATTTTCGAAAATAATTTTAGTTTTTTGAAAAAAAGAGAAACAACGTCCTATGATCGTCTGATGACCTTGACACATGTTGTCAAGATCATGATTCTAAACAACATTGAAAAAGTTTCAGCCATTGTTCGGACACCTTAATTGAATAATGCTATTGTCGACGGTACTGTAACTTTCAAGCTTCATAACTCAAGATTTACTTTCCGAAAATACATTTTATCTATATGTTTTGGAAAGCTCTCGAAATAAGGTGTGCTCTTCCGTCTTACAAGAATATGTAACGAATAATAGGGGGTTCCATTGGGTTCCATTTAAAAAATTTAAAGTGACCTTGTCCTGACCTTGACGACGCCACTCAGGGTCAAACCAATATTATCATCTTATGTCCCCTTCGAAACAACTTTTATCTGAAAAATTTTTCTCTCCCGGGCTTGATTTTCGAGATATTCGACTGGATGGATTAAAATGGTCCACCCTGTATATATATTATAGTGCGTAAGTACGTAAATAAATTCGGACTCGTTAATTTAATAAATAATCTCTTCATTCGGCAAGCGTACGACCTTTTCGGTTGAACGTCCGATTTAATTCTGTTCTGTTTTACTGATTTAGTTCTGTTCTGTTTTAAATTTAAATTACAAAATTATTCGTTGATACACATTATTTTAAATTATTATTTACATACATACATACATACATATTTACATTATTATTTTATTAGTGAATATATATACATATATATTTAATCTGTTTAATTTACATAAAATATTTACTATTAATAAATAACGTATTGTTAGCATGAATTGCATGTATTATATTTCCATGAGTTTATATATAAAAAACGGGCGCGCCAAGTATGCTGTTGCTGGAGATTTCTTCCCATCTTTGATTTTTCTGTCACGTAATTTGCTACTTGTTATCGAAATCCCTTTTTAATTTCTGCAGCTCTCATTACGCTATCTATTGCATTTCTTGTTTTTATTTTTTACGTATACATTGAAAATAATATAACATGGATTTTATTTGTTTAATTTGATACAATATTTTTTTTCGAGGTATATTATTTTTTTTAGTTTTTAATTCCAATTACAATAAATATACTTGAAATAATATTTTGATTTCACTTCTTTTTGGTAATATTATATTTTTAA